GTCATGGCCAATGTCTTGATCCTTCACACAATTATGTATGTTTTGACTGATTGAGTAGTGGCCGTGCTTTATCGGGAGATCATGGAGAATGGCCCATGAGCGATTCCTCCTCTAAAGTTCCCCACTTCTTGCAGTCGGTGGAGTTCATAAAAGGTCCTGAATGTTAAGTCAATACTACGGACGAAAGATGGAGCTTCGTATAACGTGTCTTTACCCACTGGAGACACTTCTGTGTCTACCAATCATGTATTGCTATTATAATAATTACGTAATGCAAATTTCTAAACCAACAATGGATTGCAATTTAGCCTCCGGCTTAGTGTTCTGATGCCTGCTCAATTTGTCATTTCGTGTAATCTTGGTCAACTTAGAATCTTGAATTGCTTGCGGTTATAAAGAAGTTATGTCAAAATTATTATTACTATTATTGCCATTGTGAGTTTGATTCCCAATGAAGTCATTAGATTTTTCAATTTACCTAACCCTTCCAGCCGCACTATGCCCCTTCGGTCGACCCAGTCTCTTAACAGAAAAAGTACCGGCAATCTTCCTGGGTGTAAATGGCGGCCGGCGCGTAAGGGTGACAACCTCACCGCCGTCTGCCAGCCGATTGTCTATAAAATGTGGGANATTTTAATTAAATTAGATATTTTAAAGTTAAATTTGTCTAATATGTACTAAGAAAGTCCCATCGCCTATATATTTGTGATTATTTTTGTGCACACAATATTTAATAAAACATTTGTAGACATATTTTGATCTATCTGATATGTTTATTATGGTTCATAAGTTACGAGTATTTCACGAGTTCACGCAGCCTCAAGTTTTCTCTTTTATAGCCTGCGAAAGAAAATTATCTCAACAGAAGTTTAATACTTTTCTGAAGTCTAGCACCGCTCACAATTTTAGGAAGAACGATGACGTAATGGTGATATTATTTCTAGCTCATAGATTCGTACGTCCGCCATATTTTTGTTACTGACTGTAGGACATTTATAAGAAAGAAGATGGAGTGACCATCAATGTAACTTCCATGTCAAGTTTTATGAACCTCGGTCAAATTATTGTTAAAGTTCTATAGGGTATACACATAGACCTCTATAAACACAGATGCGCACGGAAACACAGAGACCTTGACGTGTTCCTAGCGGTGACGTAGGCAAGTGCCAACTTCTAGGATGTTCAGGGGGGTACAGCGCAGAAGATACAAAGTTTTAGAAGCGCGATGAACTCATAGGTCTGCTGATTATAGAGAGAGAGAGTGGGATACATGCAGGAAGGGGTAGAACATGCATGAATATACGAATAAATGACACTAGAATTCTCTTATATCACAATACTTGTGTGCAGTTATTGTTATTAATAATTAGCATTGCAATGCAATAACTTTATTAATTAAGAATACTTGCTATATTTGTTTATTGTTAAACGTAAAATATTATTTGTAAAGGATAGATGAATATAAATTTGACTTTAGCATCTGTAATATAAATTCTGAGAATACAGTACTTAATTAGGTATTATTTTGTGTTATAATTCTGCGATAAAACTTTCGTTTGAACTCCTGTTACACTGCTCCTACTCTCCCAACGACTAAGTTTGTTTCTGAAATTATAATAGCAATACAGAAAGTGCAACAATTTAATAACTTTTCCATACGTAGCGCATTTATAGGAGTTTCAGACGGTGCACAAAGCGGCAACAACAATTTCAGACTTTCCGGCATCTCTGTGAGGACATGTCCGGACTTAAGTCTCGGTTCGAGTCTAACATTGACTTGTTCAGCATCCTTATTTCGTACATTCAGTTTTATGTGCTTTTATATAGAGAAGTGAACCGAATAGAATATATTTCTTGTCACGCTGCAAAGAAAATTTGCAATTTTTTTCTGATAATTTCTCCTTTTCTATTTGTCTGTCCGCTTGCAACGATAGGTGAAACAATGAGCGGGTTTTCGTGAAAATTTATAAAACTATCTCTGTAACAGCCCATGGAGGTCCACAGGTTTGTGAGACATCGAGGCTCCCACATTTTCTAGACAATGGGCTCACAGATGGCGGTGAAATTGTCAGCCCTATGCGCCGGCCTCCCTTTACCCCCAGGAAAATATCTGGTTCTCGTTTTTGATAGAGGTTGAGTCGACCCCAGGGTCATAGTGCGGCTGGAAGGATTAGGATAATTGAAAACATCCAATGTCCTTATGGGGACTCGTACCGGCGCATTTCCGTCTTGTAGCACAGTGCCTCAATTAACTACGCTACCCCGTGCCCCTCATGAAAACTGTTACTGAAAATTTTTACTTTTTTTTTTCGACAAGTTACATTTTTAGTTAAAGCCGGGAATAGAAGGACACCGTACACGGATACCAACCTGCATTTCTGTGCCCATTTCGACGGTAACTCTCGTCCTTCTGCTTAATTAACACCGCGCCATGCAGACGTATGGAGGAGTATTGGTATACTACCACACATTACTGACTTCAGTAGTACGTGGAGGTTAGTGGTCTGGTTTACGCTCCGGCCGCTTCACTCCCAGATTAAGACCCACCAATACTTATTATGTATAAGGTTTGATGAACCTCAATAGCTGTCTTGACGCTGTGGGGAGAAAAATATTTAACTGCCCCTGCCAAGAATTGAACCCCCCCCCCCGTTTAGCTCGTAGCCCGAGCTATGCGGACTCCCGCATACATTGCTCAGTATTTATTTAAATAAAGATATTTCCAATAATAATTGGAGACAGAAACAAGACACACTGTGCATGTCAAGCACAGTTTCTGCGTAAGGATGACAGTTTTTATGATAGGTGAAGAGGATCAGTGAAGAAGCCAGAATTCTTACTCTGTGCGTATTTTCGTGTTCTCCTGCAAATGATAATTTTGTGATGTGCGTTTCCATAGTGTTTTGAAAATTTTCATCAGTACTGAAGAATAAAAGTAAGAAGAGGAAATTCTCTTAAAAAATAATTATTTATGTATTTTTACGTTGAATTGTGTATCGTAATACATAATACATTTACAGATTTAGCAAAATACGGCCAGATTACAAAATAAGGTATCACTTGTTGTTTAATTTAAATAGATTGGACATCTGACGTTTTCGCAATTAAAATGCCATTCTGAGGAGTAGCCGTTCAAGAAACGCTTTTGTAAAACTTGTTCAAATTTATTTTAGAAAAATTTTCCTAAAATTTAAAAAACGTGCTATAAAATGAGTCAAAAAGTAGAATAGGTAAAGGATAAAGTTTTTCTTTTTCTTAACCACTAATTAAGCATTACGTCATGAAGGCTTAGGGGGGACTGGCTGTAGAGATAAATATTAAAGTATTTTTTATTCTATTAAAAAAGCCTAATTTTTAAAATTTTGTGTAGATATTTCATTTATCATAACGTCATTTATTTAATTCTGTATAAGATTTTTGGAATAGCAACAGCTTTGAATTGCATAAAATAATCATTTAGTATTTAATATTATATCATGGGGCTACTTCGCGTCTTAATTCATTCGTACTAAAATTCAATTTCTAAGTAGAGTCTTAAAAATAACACTGAACAAGTCTGAGCAGTGCATTATTGAACGGTTACATATGAGAATAATATTTGAATCTCGAAAAATATCAAGTCACCAATTTAGTTAAAATTAATAATAAATAGTAATATGTTTTAATTTTATTGCACTCTGACAGGTCTTTAAACGAATTTCTTTATTATTTTCGGTGCAGTGTAGTGATCACACGACTCACATGGATGTTGAAGACTTAGTAGGATATTCTATTGCACAGGTAGTATTTTTTTTAGTTTTCAAAATAATTATTGGGGGGATAGTAATTACGGTTAGATGCTTCATACAGTTCATACGATTACATAAATATGACCACTTTACTTAACACGCGTTAAAGATTACGAAGTAATAACAGAGCTGTTCACAGTGGCCGCGCGGTCTAATTGAAGTGTCTTCGCTCGATCGAACACTGGGATCGTGGGCTCGAATCCCAATCGAGTCATGGATGCCTGTGTGAGATTATTCTGCGTTTGTGTTGTTCTGTGCGTAGGTATCGGCCTTGCGACGGGCTGATTCCCAGTGCAAGTGTCCTAGCGACTGTGTAAGAAAAATAAGGGAACTGAAGACGTACCTAGGACCCAACAAGGTACTGTCGTACCGTTGATGAATGAATGAATTTATAACAGAGCTTGGCTCTCACGCCCGATGCAGAGGCCAGTGCTACACAAGTCCTTAATAAGACGTCTATCTCTCCTGTGATCCTGAACAAGACAATAAAGAAGAAAAAATGATAACTGTAGCAGATTTCATGAGGTTAGAGCTATCAGGACAGGGAATATGATTTTCTGCAATCTTACGTCGTGCATTTCGGTGAATAGTTATTAGTTAGTTATTTAGAGAAGGTGGGTTTCCCCATGCACCACGACCAGTTTGATCTATTGTGCTTCCCTCTATGATATTCTACCGGTCTCTATACCCTATCGATAAATGGTGCGTACCATCAGTCCCGCCGAGCAAGCGAGTTTGGCCACTTGCTTAGCGGTGTCTATAATGCTTCCCCCATCTACCAGAGACCTTAGAGACTATTGTTGGGCGGGAAACGTCCTTGAATTTGGCTCAGTGATCCCCTTTGGTGATATGAGGTTCTTTTACGTGCCGTAAAGTTACGACACTGGATACACAGCTTAAAGCCCCTCCCGGAGGACTTGTTCCCTGAATTTTTCCGCCCTTAAAAATTCGACGACCTCCGCCGGGTATTTGAACCCGCGTACTACGAGTCATGAGGTGGGAACGTTACCTCTAGACTACCGAGGCCGCTTTTTCGGTGAATAAATACCAACCTTTTGGGAACCTATTGGTATCTTCAGTATATAAGAGTAACTACCCTGACCTTAGAATGGAGAGAGTAGAACTGCAAAACATTTACATCTGTCTACCAAACTAAAAGACGTCACATTCCAGAAAGCCATAATTCTGAAATATTTTTTCTTCCAATTTCAGATCCTGAACTCCCATCCATCGTGGCCAAGGCTGCGTGGGCTTCAGAGGGTGAGTTGCATAAGTTACTTCAGTGTCCCTGGCTACTGATTGCATTCCTCATATAGACCCGTTTTCGTTAGGCTCTGTTAAACTTCCAACTCTTCTTACATTGCATTACAAAACGGTATTTTATATGATGCTATCCCTGTGCTTATTTAGTTAAGCATGTTAAGCCATGTCTTGCTTTGTGTTCCCTGTACTCATATAACACTAGATAAGCACAACTAAGAGAGCGGCACACTCAATGGGACAAGAAAACAGCCGCAATATGTAAGATAGGAAGAAAATCATCATATAAAGTCATACTACAGCATCAGAATTCAACGAAATTAATAATAACAACAAAGTTGTGCCTTAATGAATACAATTTGACCAAGTGCACAGTGCAGTAGACCCGTTTATAAGATCCGTTGCCTGAAGTTGGCCCTGTGCAGCTGAAACATGTAGCATAAATATCTAATTTACATATATTTTATTAATTATTTATTGTTTTTCGGTTTAACGATTTTGCAGCCGCACTATGGTTCTGGTATTGACTCGGCCTCTTTCAGAAATAAGTACAAGGAATCTTCCTAGGTGGTAAAGGGTGGCCGGCGAGTAAGACTGACAATCTCACAGCTATCTGTGAGCCTATTTCCTAGAAAATGTGGGAGCCTCGACGTCTCAGAAACCTACGGGCCTCCGTGGCCTGTTACAAGGAGAGATTTTAATTTTTACAATTTTTTTTTTAGAAATTCTTAATTATATTACATTATTTAATACTATAAATTGATGTACTCAAGAACTTTTGTCTTCTCTTCTGTTGTTCAAAACCATAAAAATTAGAATATACAGAACTATAACTTTGCCTGTGGTTCTGTATGGGTGTGAAACTTGGTCTCTGACATTAAGGGAGGAACATAGACTGAGGGTGTTTGAGAACAGGGTGTTGAGAATATTTGGACCGAAGAGAGATGAAGTGGCAAGAGGTTGGAGAAAACTGCATAATGAGGAGCTTGATAACTTGTAGTCTTCTCCAAGTATAATTAGAATGATCAAGTTAAGGAGGATGAGGTGGGCAGGTCATGTAGCACGAATGGGGGAGACTAGGAATGCGTATAGGATATTGGTGGGAAAGCCAGAAGTAAAGAGACCACTGGGAAGACCAAGGCGTAGGTGGGTGGACAATATTAGAATGAATCTTAGAGTGATAGGATGGGATGGTATGGATTGGATAGATCTGGCCCAGGATAGGGACCAGTAGTGGGCTCTTGTGAACACGGTGATGAACCTTCGGGTTCCATAAAATGCAGGGAAATTCTTGAGTAGCTGCAGAATTGGCGGCTCCTCCAGAAGGGCTCAGCTCCGTAAGTAAGTAAGTAAGTAAATAAGTAAATTGATGTACGACAAATACGATTTGATCTTACATGGATCTTTTCAAGCACGTATCTGTCTTCTTATTCTGGAAGAGTGTTTGTGTTATGCTGCCACTCAGTTTGGTTCTTACGCTTCAACTCGATAAAGTTCCGTACTGCGTAACTCTGTTTCCCGCGCGGTACTGGTGCTGCTGCCGGAAGAAAAATGCGGCCTCCCACGACGTCGCTGGTTGCGTAATAATTCTTCTTTACGAGAGGCGCCCTCCGTATTAAACTTTAAATGCCTCGTCTATATGGGAAACGGCTCTGTAAGAGAATTATATGAGCCGTCACAGATGTGTGACTTAGTAGTTTTTCATAGTTTTAGGTGAGTTCTGGAGCTCAAAGCTTGATTATCACAAATTAAGTTCACTCTGACATATATCAGTCCCTCCAGACGAATTTATGAGATGAAATCTGTGCCGATAAGGCTGAATTTCAAACTCTAATTCCATGGCTCAAATTTCAATGAAAATACGAACACCTGATTTAACATTTGATATGATTTCTGTTTCACGTACAGAATAATTGTAACATTGTTAACCCGTTTTAAGACTAAATTCCTAATTTGAAGAAAAAAAAAGGGAGGCTTATGAGATCACCTTGCTGTCTGTCTGTGCATTCTTCTTTTGTCTTGCAACTACCCCTGACTTTTAGGCTTCTAAAGCTTATGACACCATCTTGTTGTCTGTTTGTGTATCCCCTTTTTACAGTCTGTGCCTAGCAACTTATGAGATCACCATAATATCTGTGTGTCTTGTGTTCCGTCACTTTTTTGTCTTTCTATGCGGTCTGTGTTGCATCACAGGAAATGAGGCGATTGGTTCGTCTCATAACTTCCGATAATACATTCTCTTAATCTGTGTTTCATCATAGCTACTGTCACCTCAAGACAATGTTCTCTATTTCCTATCCTGCTGCCCTCTACTTGCACGATTACGTGTATCTTTTTATGGAGATGGGGTGCAACTTTATTGAGACTTTATTGATATGCGTAATCTCTGTAATTCTTTTGTGTTATTATTTATTCACCTAATGGGTTGCTTTTGCGTAAACGACTTCTTTTTTTATTGGCTCTTCCAGCCCATTCATGGCTCAGGCCTCTTATTCAGTTCCGTAATCATGTTTCACAGACGGTAGGACAACTTGGGCGAGTGATCAACTCGTCACAAGGCGGCTACCTAAACACAGGACAACACAGACACAGAATAAATGAACACATATATATATCCATGCATTGAGTGAGATTCAAACCCACGATTTTAGTGTTCTAGCGAGCGACGACAGGTCATGCCCTAGACTCCGCGGCTAATGTGACCTGCTACAGAAGAGTATAGTGCAGTAAGTTATTAATTAATATATAACTTACACAATAAATTTGTTGGTGTGCGACGGATGTGTACTGTGAATTCATCTCCAGACAGATGTTGGGATAGTACCTCAAATGTTACCTCGACCACATACGCTTTCAATTTTTTATTCGCCTGCAGACCTATCACATAATGCTACATCATCTCAGCTATTGAAACCTTCACTTAATATAAATGTAAAAGGCAGATCTGTCCCTGTGTTTAACTAATTATCCACCACACCAAGAAGACTTATGTTGGAGTGACGGTAGAGCTCCACGTTTCTTAACCTCGACACTAAATGTGGGGATGACTGGTGAAACTCACCCTCCCTCTCCGTCCGTATTAACTCACGGTTCTCACTGGATATAAGACTGATCGGCTCCCAGAGACTATACCAACGCAGTAGAAAAAATAATATCTCTTGTCTCTACCGACAATCAAACCCGGATTCCTCGGTCGTCAAACCCGTTCATTGTGGCTCTGTCAACTAATATGGTAAATAATACCAACAATTAAGTTGGAACAATTCCGTCTTTTGGCATGTGGTGCCGTGTAGATCTTGTGTGAACTGACATTTCGGAGGAAAGTATCGCCTCCATCTTCAAGATAGAAAATCCACGAACAAGGAACTGGCGTGAGCAAGTGGCAGCAGACTGTACTCCCACGGAACGTCGGTTCACACATCTACACGGCGCCATATCCCAGAAGACGGCATTCTTCATAGTCACCGCCGTGGAAACCTCAAATCTTACAAATAAGTAGGAATTTGATTAACATGTATTTATTTTTTGAGTTGCTTCCAAATAACGTGACTGGCTTTTCGGTTTAACGATCCTTCCAGCCACAGTATAGTCCTGGGATCGACTCAGCCTATAACAGGTTGACAACCACACAGCCCTCTGGATGCCATTTTTCTAGAAAATATTGGAGCCTCGACGTCTCAGAACGGTATGGATCTCCAAGGCCTGTTATAGGGATAGCTTTACCTTTTGTCTTTTACGATGCCGTACCTGCAAATAGGCGATTGAATCATTACGAACTGAATTACACTGTGTAAATACATTTATATATCCGCAATGTCGCTAATTTTTACTTATTCTTTTTGTTTGTTTACTTACGGTTGTTTTACAACGCTCGTTGTAAGCCTATAATGCATCGAATTCTTGTCTGATTAGTGAACGCTGATTTCGTAGGGATGCGAAAGGAAACTCTCTGCCTAATTTGAGGCACTATTCCAGCATCTTACTGCGTTATTTCTTATTATTATTATCCTCATACTTCTTGTAGATAATATAGGGTTCTGACAATGGTGTATAACACACAGAGATACTGGGTTTTCAGACTTTGTCCATCTTCCGGAGGCTAGCTCTTTCTAAGGGTCCCAAGAGAGTAGGTGTCTTCCCTCACCTGAGGACAAAAAGAGATCCAGTTTCCGAAACGTTGTGTTTTTTTCTTAGTTATTTAGAACCCGGACGATGGACCGAGTCCGAAGACCCAGTATCTCTGGGTCTTCTTCTTCTTCTTTCACCTTTAAAGATTAGGCTCTATGGCCAATGTCCATTTAGAACAGTTATTTCTGAAGTATGAAACTTATGCACAGACGGTAGGACTCCTTAGACGGGGGATCAGCCTATCGCAAGGCCGCTACCCACAAACAGAACAACACAAAACATAGTAAACGCACACAGACCTCCATGTCTCTAGTGGGATTCGATCCCACAATCTCAGTGTTTCAGCAGGCGAAGACATTTCAGGCCTTAAGAGGGCGCGGCCATTGGGATCGGCGCTGGAATTCTGATAACTCACACCTTAAAAACACATTTTAGTAATAAACTTTATAAACTGACATTTATTTATTTGGAATTAGTATTCACGCATTCAGTTGTATTCAGCGTTGTTGTTTCCACTAATAGTGAAGGTACTACTGAAACTGCTCTAATATCCATTATTGCATCTTAGCTCTGTACGTATATTCATGTTTTCAGATATTCTTTCTTTACTGCAGCGCCGTCCCAAAGGCAACGTACTAATTAGGGAACTATCGATAATAGTTGTATTATCTTCTGTCCTTTGTTGGCCATGTTTCCAGCTTTCTCCTTTGTACGAGTATATTCACGTACTCCGTACAGAACTTTTTATTTGATAATGTTAACGACTAAAAACCCACACGTTCTTATGACCAACAATTCTTGGCCTTTATGTTGTATTCTCTTTTCTTATTATTGCTTCCTACGTTTTATATTATATTGATATCCGCATCAGA